TTCTCTGGCCGAGTCTCCTTTGGTGCTGGCAGAGCGTGTGTCCACAGCACGCCCACCCCACTGGTTATTCAGCCTATGCCTGTGCAGACCTTGGTGTGGCCCCGGGGACACGTGGAAGCAGATGGCTGTGTTCACCCCATGCCTACGGCTGCAGGAGAGGGAGGCCATCGGTGTGGTTTGGTTCTTTGTTTTGGTAGCCAGGCCAGGGGGTTGTTTTTGTTTGTTTCTCTAAAACCCTTTAAACACATCTGAAGGTGGAACTCCTTTTCCTGGATGGAATTGAGAGGGTGCTATTAGAAGGCCTGGGGGTTTGGGAATAGACCACTTTTGGGTGGTGGCCCAGAAGGAGGAGAAAATGAGACAAAGCAAAAATGACTTTGTTTAGTACAATGCTACGTGTCTGGCATTGCTGTTGTACCTGTTAAGTCAGAATCATTTGGTTAAGCTTCCGAGAAAGAAAGAAAAACAAAAACAAACAAAAACCTCCACAAAATCTCCCCATGGGATTCTGACAGGCGCATCCAGGTCAATGCCACCTCATTAACATCATGCTGACACTCCCGAAGATTAAAATTACCAACGTCCAGACAATGTCCAATGTCCGTGCCCCAGGATGCACTGTGGGTATCCGCAGAGCTTCCTTAAGGCAACCGCTTCCGTCTGGAGGCCGTCTCTGGGTAGGGTAGAGGCCCATTATGGATGAGGGGGCAGCAGCACATCCCCTTCCCCCTTGGGCGGGTCTGAGCACAGGTGTGAGTGGCAGCAGACTTCCCATGGGGGGACAAGGCCTCAGGCTCAGGGATCAGTGTGCTAAGGAGGCAGCGTGACAGGCAGAGCACGTATTGGTTTTTAGTGGTATGACCTTGCAAGTTAGTTATCGAGCTCTCTGAGCCTCAGTTTCCTCAACCAGAAAATGGATTGGCTGAACCTCTAGCTCCTAGGGCTGTGCTGAAGGTGCGGTGCGATTGTACCAGTGAGAGAGTTCGAAACACATTTAAGGGCCCAGGCAAGGTAATATCTCTTCCTTTACCCACTGTCCTTCCACAGGATTTTTTTTTCTGTGCCACTGTGAACCAGCGAAATCAGCTCCAGTCTCCTTTCTCTTCTTCCCCTCTCCTAATTCTCATGGCAAGGGGGATCCACATCCGAGGCTGCGTTCCCAGCCGGGGATCACGGGACTGTGCTGTTCACTGTTTCGGTTCCAGTATCTTCCCCTCCCAGGAACGGGATTGGTCTAGGGGCTAGAAGTGACCTCCTTTTACCTCAGTTTGTGGAGACACCTTGCTGCACACATTGGCTTTTTCCTGGCTGCCTGGGTCTCCCTGAGTGTGCAGCTGGCATTTCTTCCTGGCTGGCATTTAGTGATGGAGAAGCATCCAGTCAATCCAGTCATTGAGTGCTCTTATTGGTCAGGACTCTTTTGGTTTTAAGTGACAGGAACCCAACTTGAATGAGCTTAAACAAAAATGAGGTACCATGGAATGTTCCAGGGGAGGTTCAAAGGAGGCCTCCCCTCGAGTTTAGCCCCAGGAAGAGAACAGGTAATCTTAGCATGCCTGGAAACAGTACCCACTGCTCAGTGGCCCAGGTGACCCAGATAGCTCCCAGCTGACCCCCCACAGCCCTCCACCCATCCCAAGTGGACTAGGCCTCCCCTAGGATTTTTCAGATTGAAACTTTTCCCAGCGTGGAGCACGTGCCCACCCTTTGTAGCCATGAGTGTGGCCAAGGAGGAAGGATACTCTGATAAACCCACCTTGAGTCCCATGTCTACTCCCCTTTCTGTCTGGGGAGTGGAAGATGGGACAAAATCTGTTGTCAGAACAAAGGGAGAAGGATACTAATACTATTAATAAGTAAGAATAATACTTTTATTGAGTGCTTACTTTGTGCCAGACATTATTCTACACTCTTTACCTGTATAACTCATTTCATCTTCACAATCAACCCCATTTTACATACCAGGAAAATGAGGCACAGAGAGGTTAAGCAATTTGCCAGAGGCCACATAGCTAGCTCATAGGAGAGCTGGGATTAAACCCAAGCAGAGGACTCCAGATGTGCTCGTAGCCACCCACTCTGATGCAGATGGTAACAACAGATGTCAGCTCTAAGCACTAATTCTGAACTGCACACCGGGCTAGGTCCTTTACAGCACCATCTCATTTCATCTTCAGAACAGCCCTGTGGCATAGGCACTAACATCCATACTTTTAGGCAAGAAATTGAGGTTCATGTGGATTATGTGACTTATCCAGGGGTCACCTGACTCACTTAAAGAGACAGAGCTGGGATAGGAAGCCAGGTTTGCCTGATTCCAGGGCCTGAACTCAGGACCACTTCAGTGGGTAGCTTTTGTATTCAGACCCTTCTCTTGTTCTATCAGAAGCTGCCCTGGTGACTGCGAGGAAGAGCAGACTTGACTCAGCCTCTGTACCTTCATTCTCTCTGTCTGGGGTACTGGGGTGTGGAGACCCCTGCTTGGTGCACGCTGCAAAGGGACTGGCTTTGTGGTTCTGAGCTGGTCTTGGTGTGTTTCACACTAACTCACACCAAAGGGTCCTGAATAAGCCTTCAGTGCATGTAAGTTCTGGATTTCTTCATCTCTCCATACATGAAATACCAATGAAGTGCCCAGTAGGTGCCATGACCAGTTCCAAGCGCTTGGGGTCCTTTAGTGAAGACTTCACCTTTATGGAGGTAGACTCAGATAACAGCAGAGAGGAAGGGCCTGGTCCCTCCAAATGGCTATGTCCCTCAAGATCCGTGAAGCCACTCACACTCACAGAAAACCTTTCCTACACAGCAGGTCAGGCCCACAGGAGCCTGGAGACCTCGTACTCCTTCGCTTGGGGTTGGCATGACAGCAAGTCCAAGAGGGGATATGTTCATTCTGACTGATTACAAAAGGGAGCATTGTGTCAGGGAGTGAGCACGGGCACAGACTCAGGACTGCTCAGCCATGAGTCCCAGGCTGCTGTGGTCTGTGCTGAGTGAGTCTCCAGGTGAGGAGCCACTTGGTTGTACCATGCCTCAGTTTTCCCCCACAGACCTCCCCCACCCTGTAACATGACTTTACTACCTGACTTATCGGGTTGCTGGGAAGAGTATCTGAAATAGCAAATGCTAACCACCCATCGCAATGCCTGCACACAGATTAACCCCTGTCCCTCCTTTAAAGGGCTGACTAGTTTTGTGGATGTCTCTAAAAGTCGGGGCCCATGGAGGGGGACAGCTGCAAGGGATCCTTGGTGAGGAAATCACCAATTAGGTCAGGCTTCTCATTTTACAGATGAAGAAACTGAGGCTCCTCTAGGGAAGGGGATGGTGCTGGGCTGTAGGACCTTCTAGTTTGGTGGAATTAAAGGGAGCTCAAAGCATGTTTGGCTGTTGGTCAGACAGAGGCTCTTAGTTGGTACTTGGAGTGGCTAGATCACTGTGTGCTCAGGCCTGTGTGGGAATCTGACCAGTGGTCAGCCTTTGTAGGCTGGTCCAGAAATGCCCATCTGCACCCACCATGCAGACAACCCACGCAGAACCTCAGAGAGCTCCTGCTTCCCTGCTGCGGGTCTTAGCAGTGCTCCTGGGTAGGTAGGGGCTTCAGTTCCTGAGATCCAGGGAGCACAAAGAAGTCCCTGGTTCTCAAACCTGATAAGACCAATGATGTCCAGTTCTCCCACCCACTCTACCCTGAAGCTTCCCTTGAGAAGCATGGGGCAGAGAAGTGGAGACCTCCAGCCTCCCTGACTTCTGGCTACAGGTGACTATACAGAGCCTGCAACTCAGGTGGATAGAATGTGGCCAAGGCGGGCCAGCCTGTTTGTCAACTGCCATGGGCTGGGGAGGAGTGGCTTAGTAATGATGATGATGAGAGATGATGGCAGCTTCTGCCCAGGTGGCTGTCCTCAAGCCCGCCAGGCCACTCATAGGGTGTGTGGGCCCATTACAGCCGCACTAGCACACCTCATACCTGGGTCAGGCAAGGCCTGGGCCCTAGGGCTGCCATGCCATGGGGCTGGCTGTTCTCTAAGCCTGTGTTCCTGTGTATGAGGAGCCACTGAGACAAAGCAGGCCTAGTCTTTAACCGTGCTCATTCCACACATGGCCAGTGCTCGGGAAATGGTAGTGTCTCTGCCACGAATGGTCTGAGAATTCTGAACAGCGAGCCCCAAGCCCTGGGCTTTAAATGCGATCTTTGTGTATTAGCAAGAACACGTGTGTTTATGTGGTCATGTAGGCCTACAACCCTGCTGAACAAGAGTGTATACGTCCCAGGAGTGTGGGTATTACCTCTTGCAGATCTTACATTGCACGTCTGCAAGAGCTTCTGTCTTCCTGAGGCCACTTCTTTTTCCCAAGTTTAGAATTGTGGAAGTAAAACTTTAGAAATGATCAGGGTGGGCCTGGTTAGTACTTGGATGGGAGAAAAGCCTTGTAACTCAGGGCTCCCTTTTCCAAACAGGTGCGGAAACATTTTCTGCAGAAGCAGTAAATGAAACCAAATCATTTGCGTGGCCATTGGAAGCCAAAATAATAATTTGTTTAGGAACTCGGCCATGATCAGATGGCCCACTTGTGTGATTTTCTAGTGTATTCAGTGTTTTGGACCTTTGCATCATGGGAAATGTGACACATTTCACATTGGTGACTTGTTGTGAGGTGTTTACATCAGCTGGATTTACTTTTGTCATGTCTAAGGCTTAGAAATTCTGGCATCTTCTGATTCTACTGAAGTGCCTAATAAAGCACTTTTCCCCAGACCCGTCTTACTTTCTCAGCAAGTTTTTGTGCAGAGGTGTGTGAAGCCTTTAGGGTGCCCAGACAGTGGCAGACAATAGAATTTATCTGACCATCTCACAGTCCTTTCCCATTTCGTCCTGTTGGGAAAAGTGTTACGAAGGGGCAAAGCACACAAGGCTATGGGCCCCTTAGTGGGGAGAAGATAGGAGGGTGTAATGTAAGATAACGTAGCATTCATTGTGGGGCTCTTGTTTTCAAAGGAACATGGCAATCTGTGCAAGGCTCGTCCTGGAAGGAAGCAACTTCAGTCACTGCGATGCCTAAGAATCAAAATCAAGTGAGTAAGTCACAGTGGTGGGTCTCCTTTATTGAGCCCTTGAGTGGCTCCTGGGGGGCTGGCTTCAGGCTTTAGAAAGTGTGGGGGCGCTTGTTGCACTCTTCCTACACGCCCAAGTCAATGTGAGCCCATTTGAAAAACAATGGCTAGTGAAAGCTCTCTCTCTGCCTTCAACCTGTGCAAGGAGGTTGTCAGAGGAGGGAGCGAGGCAGGGATAGAGACTGAAATGTATTTGGGCACAAGAAAGACCTGTCTAACTCAGTGGCCTTTGGGTGGGTGGGATCTCTGCCCCCTCTTTCCTAAGTAAGCCCAGCAGCTCAGCTGTCCTGACTCTGGTCCAAGCTCTGACGATGCTTCAGTCTGCTGCTGGCCCTGATCGGTGCCAAGGCAAGAATCTGGCTGGGCAGCTTCTGTGGGTAGTGCCATCAGAGCACTGTAGACCATTTGTCCAAGATTTAAAAATGTGATTGCAGCATCTTCCTTTGCTGGGGTTTCATTCTGGGGAGAACGAACCTGTTTACATCTTTATGTAGGTTCTGCAGGTCCATGGAGGCTTAGGGTCTAAAAGGCTAAGGTATAGGTAGAAATCAATAATGATGTGTTTTTCACATAGTCACCCTCATGAACTATTATTGTCAGAGCCCTCCCACTGTTCTCCCAGCTCCACTCCATCCCCCTGCTCTGTCCTCAGCAATGCTGCCAGAGACCTCCCCTGAAGACCTGTCTGACCAGCCCTCTGCTGTTGGCCGTCAAGGCCTCCCTGGTCAGGCCTCAGCCTCACAGTCCAGCCTTGTTTTCTGCCTCCCCTCTTTGTCTGCCTTGGCTCCAGGCCACCGACTCCTGGAACAGATCTCTGCTTATGGGACATGCTGTTCCCTTTGAGGAGCTTCCCTCACTCCCCCAGGCAAAGGTGGTGCCTCTTCCTCCTCTACACTCCCATAGCACTTTATTCAGACCTCAGGTACATCACTGGCTGAGGTAAGGTTGGTTCCCTTGTCCCTCTCACCCACCAGCTGTGAGTGCCTTAGGGCATACACCTGCCCTCCAGCCTTCCCATCAGAGCAGAGCAGCACCTCCAGCGTTTCAGTACTGGGCACCTGGCTGGCGGGACAGGGAGGGGTGGGTGGCGGGTCAACAGCTGTCTGTTAACTCAAGGAGTTCAAAGCCTAAGATTTCTTCAGGGCTCACAATTGACAAAGTTCTATCTCAGTGTCTCATGGGAGCCTCACACCCTGGGGAGGGAGGTCCTATCATTCTCATTGTTTTATAGACGTGGAGACTGAAGTCTGAGCAGTCAGCTAGCTCGCCCCAGGCTGTAGCCTAATAAGGACCATGGCCCACGTCTCCTGTGGTCCAGGCTAGTCTGGTTTCTGTAATACCAAATTTTATAATTACAATTATAAAAGAACCCAAGAGATAATTTAGAACAAACCCCTCATTACTAGATAGGGAAACTGAGGCCTGGCCTGAAGATGCTTTCTCAAGATTACATAACTAACTGGTACTAAATGGAGAACAGGAATATAGATTCTGGACTTCTAGCCTAGCATTCTTCCCACTGCTCCCTACCCCTCCTCTGCCTCCCTCCTGTATATAACCATCAGAGAACACTGGGGGACCATCATTCTGCATGGACAGGAGGGTGAAGAACTTAATGACCACCGTGAGTTAGAGGGAATGCAGAAATGCATGAAACTGGCCCTGCCCCCCAGGAGCTTCCCTGGAGATGTGAGACCAGGGTGCAATCTTGGTAGAGGGAGGAAGGAGAGGGAAGGGTGAGGGGAGAGCCTCGGGGTCCAACCCAGGAGGTGGGAGCCTGGTGCTGGCCCCAAGGGAGGGGCAGCAGGTGGGCACATCTGGGCATTTAGAGGCTGGCCTGGTGGGCATGGAGGGCCCATGGGGGTGAGGAGTCCACGTTGGGAATCCTGACCAGCAGAATGAGGCAGGGTGACTGGACCAAGGGGAAAGCTGCCCAGCAATGCTGGCTCTTAGTGTCTGAGCAAAGAGGCCCTGCTTGCCAGTCTGCTGTGGCCTGAGAATCCCTCCTGGTTCCCAAAGAAACACAATGTAGATTATGTCCACAATGGACAGTGAATCCCATCATTGTCTGAAATGTGTAGGAAGAAGGAGGTGTGTGCATTTCTGGCTGGCTTATCCCTATTGTGCTCAAGTGAATTTTTCTTTCATTGTTTTGATCAACTACACGTCCAGCTGGCCTCCCCTACCCATTGATTCTCAGGGCTCTCCTGGGTCATTTGCTCTGTCCAGGCTTGATATAGGACCAGGCACATGCTGGCTACTCTGCCCCCTCTTGGGCACACAGACTGAGGGGCTGGGACTGACCACAGGCTCCATCCCAACTGGCAGGTTGAAACATACAATTTGTCCAAATTACAGAGAATGTGATGTTTTCCTAATAGGTACCTTGGATTATTTTCCAAAACCTGATCAGGTTATAAACGTCTAAACTTCTAGGGCAGGGAAAGTGTGTGGTGTTGTATCATTATTGTTTACACCTTAGGTTTACATTGCAGTTTACATTTACAAACATCATTTCATCTCATAACAAGGCAGGTAGATTTACTCCCATTTCACAGGTGAGAAATTTGACTTGGGCTGTAGCCTGCCCAGGGTGAGGTAGCTGCCTAAGGCCTGAGATGGGGCACAGCTCAGGCCTCCTGTTTATAAATTCAATGCTCTTTCTACTCTACTATGCTCCAACCATATGTAATCCCTGGAGGGTGTAGGACCTAAGAGGAGCTCAGTAAATATTTGTTGAATGAGTGAACTTTGGCCATTTTATTTCCTTTTTTTTTTTTTTTGCCTCACTTAACCATAAATGGATCCTCTTTGTCAGTAAGGGAACTCTAGGCTGTGAAGTATTTGAATTTCTTGCTACGATAAGGAACCGGTGAGTTCTCTTCTCACCCAGCCTTACCTCCTGGAACTGGGTCATGCACACTAAATAATTAATTCCCTGAATCTTTTACTCAGAGCTTTCTGCTCCTGATGCAGAGATGATCCATCCAACATAGATCTTTTTGTTTTTAATTTTTACTTACTGATTTTAGAGAGAGAGGAAGGAGGGGGGAAGAGAGAGTGTGTGTGTGAGAAGCATCAATACGTTGTTTCACTTATTGATGCATTCATGGGTTGCTTCTTGTATGTGCCCTGGCTAGAGATCAAACCCACAACCTTGGTGTATGGGGATGATGCTCCAACCAACTAAGCTACCTGACCAGAGCCAACATTGATCTTTGAAAGGTCCCTGATAGATGCAAACCCTACTGCCTGTTGTCATAAACCTTTAGATAACCCATCTAACTGCCCATAATGGATACTCTCAGCCTAATCAGGTCAGACATCCAGCGGGGTAATTTGATCCCCTCTGCCACCCTTCTCCACCATCCTCTTCCAGATGGAGGAAGAGGACTATGTGGGTCATCTTAGATATTTATGGTTTTATAGGTACAGGGAGATCTACCTGTCCCTTCTCACTGACCTCTGAACTCCCCAAGATTGCGTGGAGAGGGATGGAGAAAGAACAAGGGGACCATGCCAGGTTGGGAAGGAATGCATCGGGTGGGGGAGGTAGTTATCAAAATATCTCCTGGGCCTGCTCTTTCCTAAGTGACACATAGGTCATGTTGCTTAGAATCTGCAGGGGATCCAGCTGGCCTCATTAGAGCAACCTAATTAGATTCCTGAAGTCAACAGTGTACAGTGGAAAAAAGAGTCGGCTGAGACCAGAGACCCGCATTCTAGTGCTGGTTGTTCACGGCTTAGTTGCATGACCTTGGGCCAGTCACAGAATTTTACCTGCCCTTAGATTTGTTATTAAGGAAATAAGAGGGGGCATAAAGGGTTGTGGCATCTTAAAGGAGCCTCTTGGGTTTCCGTGGTTCTTCAAGTCCACTCTGTCCACATGGTTAGCTCCACTGTCTTCTCCTCCCCCTGGCCTCCTCCTCATGGGGCCAGAGCTTGCTTGTGAAAATACTTTTCTCCTTTGTAGCTTTTCCACCTTTTCCCTGATCCACCCTCAGGCTAGAGCAGATAAGAACTGCCTTTGCTGCCTTAGATCCTGCCAAGCAGCTTGGGGAAAGGTCTAATGCTTTGATAGAGTGTTAGGGACCAATGGGATATGGGTGGTGTAGGAGGGGAGTGGGAAAGTTCTTGAGTGGAAAGAAGCCGGCCCAAATGATCAGGGGTTGTTGGTATTGATGTGTGAATGTCCAAACCTGTAGAGAATTATTATAAAAATGTGTTTGAGCCAAATAGAAGATGTGTCTGGAAGCAAGATCTCAACAGACTGAGATAAATGCTTCCAGGAAATGACAGTTTGAAGCTTCTTTTATGTGTTTGGAATTACGGAGAGAACATAAGCAAGATTACAGGAAGGTGGGAGAAAGCAAGGCTGTGGAGGGGGTGGAGTTGTGGGAAAGGGGCGGGGGTGCTTGATTACAAGACAGTTAAGATTATATGCTTTTTTGAGGGGGGTCACACTTTAGAAGGAGGGGTCTGAAAAGAGGCATTTTAGAGGTGAGTTGTTAACTTAGATGCACAGACACAAATGGACAGGGCTCATTTAAGAGAAGCCTTTTACTTGAAGAAATTGTATGCCTTGGGTGTAACTACCCATCATGACCTGCACAGTTGGGAGTTTGTGATCATGTCACCCCTCTGAGGTTATTTTCTGTAGAACCCCCTTTTTTTATCCACATTGGGATATCAAGCTCTTGATGCTCCGAGGAACCTGGGCCCTATTGAGTTGCTTGACCAGATGGTACTAGATAAGTTCTTAATAATAAGACCCCAAATTTATTCTCTTCTCTGTCCAGGCTTTGTGCTCAGGGGTGACCAGACACTCTAGAGCAAAAAGATCATAGTGTTGGCAGAAGGCTGCGCAGTGGGAGCTAAAAGATGTCTCACACAGACAACAACACAGAAAGGGGCAGAGGTGGGGGATGATAGATCTGTCTCCCAGACTTATGACCTTGGAG